TGTCTATGCCGAAGCCTACGTGACTGTCCACCAGTTTGACATCGTCCTCGACGTGCTTCTCGTCAACCAGACCACTGAGACCCTGCAGAACTTGTCCGTGGAGTTTGCCACCCTGGGAGATCTCAAGGTTGTCGAGCGTCCTTCCACCCACAACTTGGGCCCGCGTGACTTCTTAAACGTCTCAGCTACGGTCAAGGTATCATCCACCGACACTGGAGTGATCTTCGGCAACATTGTCTACGATGGCCCCAGCTCCACCGAGACCCACGTGGTCATTCTTAACGACATCCACGCCGATATCATGGACTATATTCAACCTGCACACTGCACTGAAACTCAGTTCCGTTCTATGTGGACCGAGTTTGAGTGGGAGAACAAGGTTAACATCAACTCCAAGGCCAAGACTCTGCGTGAATTCCTGAAGCAACTGATGGAAAGCACCAACATGGCATGCTTGACCCCCGAGGCGTCGCTGAAGGGTGACTGCCGGTTCCTGAGCGCCAACCTTTACGCCCGGAGTGTATTCGGTATGTGACCACTGACTTTTCCTTGGCTTTTTTTTTCAACCTTCTTTCAGATGCTAACAATTATGATTTTCCAGGCGAGGACGCTCTGGCAAACTTGAGCATCGAAAAGGAGGGCGATGACGGTCCGGTCACTGGTTTCGTTCGGATTAGAAGTCGCTCTCAAGGCCTGGCGCTCAGCCTGGGCTCTTTGAAGGGCCTCAAGGCGGCGGCAGCATAAGTTAGAGCGATTGTGATGTTTATTTCCAGCGGGCTGCAGTCTATATGATGTTTTTTCTATTATTTTCCTCGATCTTATCTCTCCCCCCCCCCCCTCCTGGTCTTTTCTCCCACCTTTTTTTGTGCTCCCCCTTTTTTTCTCAAGACAAATTTGTGTATGACTTTGTGCTATCAAGGCCAGGGAGTAGTGGAATAGAAATAATGCTTTTTTTTCGACGGGTTGTTAGCACGCGCAAAGTAGAGTAGAGTAGATCCGAGGCTCGCAAGGGTCTCCCGCTGTGGCAACGGCCCCAGTAACCGGAACCTGCGGCTGTTGATTGACCTCTCACCTTCCCCGGGGTCCCAGCTTTGTTCTCCTGCGCTATCTTTAGATCTTACACCCCCTATACCTTTGACTCGTTGCGCAAATAATGAACTTCCCTACGATGCGCTGAACTTCGACCATTCATATCATTATCACTCAGAATGTCATCTCTCGACGCGGCTGCGGATCAGCCAGGTGCGCATGACCAGACCCTGATCGTCGACAACGCGGTCACCTTGACACTCAGCACCGATTCTCTTATGGTCGTCGGTTAGCTCCCCCGAAAAACCACGTCCCCTGGTCCTTATCGCTGACAATTACAACAGATGATCGCACCTCTAGCAAACCGGACCGACGCTGCTGCGGGTTATGCAAGAGTAAGCTAAGCTGGGACCCTCCGCCCCTCCGGCGATCGCGATAAAGTCAATCGTTATGGCATATCTTTTTTTTTCAGTGGGGCTAATTGATTTTTGCGCATTCTTTAGAGACGAAGACGAAGTCAACCCACGCAATTTCCCTATACAACGTTCTTGACGCCGAGGTGGCTGCTTCGTCCCTGGCCATCACCTACGCCCAACATTCGACAAAGAATGATGTCTCAGTGACCACTCTCCACTACCCTATAACCGAGAAAGAAAAGCCTGCGGTCGAAGCATGGACTGAAAGACTTCTTGAGCTCTCCTACGGTACTTCTCAACGTAGAAGGCGCCTGAAGGTCTTGATCAACCCCTTTGGTGGAAAAGGAACCGCTGCGAACCTCTACAATACATATGCAGCACCGGTTTTTGCCGCGGCGCGATGCCAGGTTGACGTGCAGACCACCGAACACCGCGGACACGCCATTGAAATCGCCGAACAGCTTGATCTCGACGCGTACGACGCGATAATATGTTGCTCGGGTGATGGTCTACCATACGAAGTCTTTAACGGCTTAGGTAAACGGCCCAATGGCCGAGAGGCGTTGGCCAAAATGGCAGTTGCGCTGCTTCCTTGTGGCTCCGGCAATGGCATGACATGGAATTGCTTAGGCACAGAAAGTGTCTCCCTGGCATCCTTGGCAATCATCAAGGCATTGCGAACCCCCTTGGACTTGGTCTCTGTCAGTCAGAAAAACACTCGCACGCTGTCATTTCTTTCACAGTCTTTCGGCATTGTCGCTGACTCAGACCTTGGTACTGATAACATCCGATGGATGGGCGCTCAGCGGTTCACGTACGGCTTCTTGGTTCGCCTGATGCAACGTACGATCTACCCTTGTGATCTAGCAATCAAGGTCGAGATGAGTGACAAGAGGGTCATTAAGGATCATTACAGGTCCTATGTATCCCAAGAATATGACCCTTTGGCGGATCCCATCCGACTCGAGGCTGCAAGCCAGTCACCGGCACTACCTGAACTTGAGTATGGCACTGTGGAAGATCAGGTCCCCAAGGACTGGGAAGTCGTGCCAGGCGAACACATTGGTAACTTCTACGCGGGTAACATGGCTATCATGTCCAAGGAAACCAGTTTTTTCCCTGCCTCCCTCCCAAGCGACGGGCTGATGGACATTGTCACTATCGATGGAACTGTTAGTCGCATGACCTCGATCAAAATGATGAATGAGATTCCTACGGGTGGGTTTTTCGACATGGCAGATGTGAAGATTCGCAAAGCCAAGGCATTCCGCCTCGTGCCTCACGAAAAAGACGGCCATATAAGCATTGACGGTGAGAAGGTGCCGTTCGAGGCATTCCAGTGCGAAATCCACCAAGGACTTGGCACGGTGCTCACCAAGTCGGGCCACATTTATGAAGCCGAAGGACCGAAGTGATTTTCGTCTGCCCATGACCACTTCGTGCTAACTCATTGTCGCCCTTATCTGTCCAATGTCTCCCCAGTCTTTTGCTATCCCTTCATGATACCCTTATGCAAAAGAGATCTGGTTCTTTGATGTATATTTTTTGGTGTTTGGGAGATTGTTATTACTTTCCTTTATGCGGGAGCTTGCTTTTTTGCAAGACCACTTTGTCGTCAAGCCTGGCGCAGTCTATATTCCGTGCCCCAACTGTATAGTTCCGGATTATCGTAATAGATGATATCAATATATTTCTTATGTCATGCGATAATTATCATGGTCACTCAAAAGATCCCTCGGTGGCAGTAGTATAGTACCAAAGCCGTGGAGGGCTACCAGTAATGTGGAGGAGACAGCCATCTGCATGGACGTGAAATATTGGAATAACTTTACATTTTGCCAATACCATCCAGTTATCGCTATAAAAATGCTGTACAAAAGAGGCTCTCAGGCCTAGATCAATCGGTTATTCGTCAAAACCACCCCACTCGCCGTCGCTGTCCACCTCGTCGTCCTCATTGACCGTGGGAGCACGAACTCCCCACTCAACCAAGCGATCATCCTCCAACGCCTCCGTAGCCCGTGTCCGAACAGGCTTGTAGGGACTCTCAGTACGAAGCTTCTCCAGCGGTCTCAAAATGAGCTCCATGGGAATATCGCCCTTGATCTTCCGATTGGCAACTCCGTCCTCGGCGATCTCGCCATCTTCGAATTCAAGAACTTTCTCCAACTCGTCAACCCAAATGTCGACAATATGGTACCGCAGACCGTCCGGTCCGTGCGGCATCGCCACAAAGTCCGACTCCTCATCATCAGAATCCTGATCAGGGTCGAAGTTCACAGGGTGAAGGGGACCCTCCTCAATGAGAGAGATATAAGCGGAAAGATCGGCCCACTTTCCATCTTCATCTGTGGTTTCCTCCTCCTCGGCGGGCTCGCTCTCTTGCTTCTTTTGCTTCTTGCCACGGCCCTTCTTGTCCGCGTCTTCACGCTTGCGCTTTTTGCCGTCACCCTTTTGCGAGCTCTTCTTCTCCTTCACGAAAATTTGGAATGCGACGCCGACATAGCAACGAATCAGGAAGAGGTACTTGTCCAGGCGCAGGCGGTCGATGGAGTGGTAATCCCGACCGATGGTGATCCAGAATGCGCGCAAGAATCTGTGGAGGGTAGCATGGGGAAGAGATGTGACGAGGTGGTAGGAGAGTGCGCGGGCGAGAGCTTGTTGCGTGAGAGGTCGGTCGGAGTGATAAAAGCCTGCGGTGAACCATTGTAAGTCAATCGCAATTTTAGATAATCAGTTGGCCAACACTTACAGAAGAATAGACCCTTCCAGAGCTTCAGAAGATCAAGAACACCCAAATCCGTGCGCGAGCTCAGGAATAGAGTGAGAGATTCGACGGCCTTGTCGCGAATCTTGCGGTCTAGACAACCCGTTTCGTTAGCAATCGATTTTTTCTGCATTACGCCAACATTGAAATGGATATCATCATACCGCTAGAGGCGAGGTCCCTCACGAAGGGAGTCTTTTGAATGTCCGCCATTGTCTGGTGCGTTGTCAGGGTAGAGCGGCGTCAATTTGATCTCCGCGATAAATTATTTTTTTTGGCTGATAGCAGTTTGCACTGTTTGCACATAAGGCGGTCGTTGCTGCCTCAGGCGCCAACTACATGTCCATCAACGACAAGTCAGACAACCTCAACCCAAAATCGTTCCAGAAGAAATTCAAGTTTCAAAGCGATCTACCACTGATGTATTTTGTTTCTCAACTCCACTGCAGATACCCGATGTGCCATTGCGCCCACCGCAAAAATGACCGCATTCGGCAATCGTCTAATTATGAAAATGTCTCCTGCCATCCGATAGATCGTGACATCATGACTGGAAATCGCATCGAATGAGATCCCAGAATACCCTGACCCCAGTGTGATCAATTTTGGTTCAGGGCATTTTTTAGACTGCTTTGGGGAGGTCGGCTATCATCGAACTTTGCATATTTTCGGGTCCCGATGTACATGTACTTCTTCACCTGCTGTACTACCTCGACACCAGAGACTCTTCAGTCTTCAAATCAAAGTTGCTCCAGCGGTGTCGAGCCTGTAAATCAACCCTCAAGACCATGTCAGGGCAGAACGACGACTATGAGATCGCCGAGACGAATGCTTCCTTCAATGGAACAGATCACGTTTCGCGATCGAGCTCCGAAGCCCTGCCCGAGGAGCAGAGAGTATTCGAGCATATCCCACCTGAAGATCGCGAAGAGCTTTCTCGAATTGCCTCCAACTTTCCTCGACACCGAGCTACCGATTCCGGGGTCGGGAGTATGGGCGGAATCGAACGCAAGGACACACTGGAAGATGTTGAACTAGGTGATCCTGTCCTGGACCCGACCAGCGGTCAATTCAACCACTACAAATGGGCCCGCATGGTGCTCAAAATGATGGATAAGCAAGGAGTATCTATGCGGAAATCCACAGGAGTCGTCTTTCAAAATCTCAACATATCCGGCTCCGGTGCTGCCCTCCAGTACCAGAATAATGTTGGCTCTGTCCCCCTAGCTCCGTTCCGACCCCAGGAATACATCTCCTTAGGGAAATGTGTACCTCAGAAGCAGATTCTACGAAACTTCGATGGTGTTCTTCAAAGCGGCGAGCTTCTGATTGTCCTTGGACGTCCTGGTAGCGGGTGCTCGACCTTTCTCAAGTCTTTGTCCGGGCAATTGCACGGGTTGAAAGTTGGGGAAAGTTCCGATGTCCAGTACAACGGCATTCCCATGGAGACGATGCATAAGGAGTTTAAAGTGCGTTTACCTTATTGCAGTCTTTGGAATTTTTGCTAAATATTTTGCCTCCATCTAGGGTGAAGTTCTTTACAACCAAGAGGTCGATCGCCATTTCCCTCATCTTACTGTCGGACAAACTCTCGAATTTGCTGCCGCTGCCAGGACACCCGAGCACCGGCTTCAAGGAATCAGCCGCGCAGCTTATGCCAAGCATATTACTCAGGTAGCCATGGCCGTGTTGGGACTGAGCCATACTTATAATACCAAAGGTGAGATGAACTTCTCAATGTCTACGATTCTTTCGCTCATAATTATTCCAGTTGGTGATGACTACATTCGAGGTGTTTCGGGAGGCGAACGAAAGCGAGTCAGGTAAGTCAAAATCTTATAGACTCCCATGATGGCTATGATAGCCATGATAGCAAACGCTAACGATTCAAAAAGTATTGCCGAAATGGCTTGTAGGTTCCTTCCATCATCATTTTTGTTGAGCAAGACAAATTTTAACGAACCTTTTTAGTGGCGGGAGCTCCTGTTGGTGCGTGGGATAATAGTACACGAGGGTTGGATTCAGCCAGCGCATTGGAATTCGCCAAATCTCTACGGGTTTCTGCAAACCTCACCGGGAGTTGCCACGCTGTTGCAATTTACCAGGCATCTCAAGCGATCTACGATGTTTTCAACAAGGTGATTGTGCTTTATGAAGGTCGACAGATCTTTTTCGGGCCATGTAATAAAGCCAAAGAGTACTTCGTCGAGATGGGATGGGACTGCCCTCCTCGTCAAACAGTCGGAGATTTTTTGACATCGGTGACAAATCCACAAGAACGAAAAGCTCGCGAAGGGATGGAAAATCAAGTTCCACGTACCCCCGACGATTTTGAACAATATTGGAAGAAAAGCCCTCACTATCAACGGCTCAAGAAAGAGATTTTAGAGTATTGCGAAGAGTATCCTGTTGGCGGAGAAGCTGAAAAGGACTTTGGTGCCACAAAAAGATTACGACAAGCAAAGCATGTGCGACCAAAAAGCCCATATGTTATCTCTATACCCATGCAGGTCAAACTCTGCGTGAAACGAGCTTATCAACGCATCTGGAATGACAAGCCGTCTACGTTGACCACCGTCATTGGGCGGATCTGCATGTCTCTCATTATCGGTTCGATTTACTTCGGAACCCCAAACGCAACTGCAGGATTTCAAAGCAAAGGAGCTGCGCTTTTCTTCGCCGTCCTCATGAACGCCTTGATCAGTATCACTGAGATCAACTCGCTCTATGATCAACGCCCTATCATCGAGAAGCAAGCTTCTTATGCTTTTGTTCATCCTTTTACTGAAGCTCTCGGAGGAATAGTGGCAGATATGCCTGTTAAGTTTGTGTCTGCCATTGTGTTCAACATCATCTTCTATTTCTTGGCCGGCTTGGTAAGCCATGGAAACCTTCGAACGACTTCGTGATATACTAACTATGACATAGCGATATGAGCCCTCCCAGTTCTTTATCTTCTTCCTGTTCACCTTCCTCAGCACCCTTGCGATGTCCGGTATTTTCCGCACCCTCGCCGCCTCAACAAAAACCCTGGCCCAGGCAATGTCTATGGCAGGAGTAATTGTTCTTGCAATCGTGATTTACACAGGTTTTGTTATCACAGCACCCGAGATGGCGAAAGTTCCTTGGTTTAGCTGGATCCGTTGGATCAATCCGGTATTTTACACCTTCGAGGCCCTGGTAGCAAATGAATTTCACGGTCGTGAATTCGAGTGCTCACAGTTCATCCCTGGGTATCCAAGCTTGTCTGGAGATTCTTTCATTTGTTCCGTTCGTGGCGCTGTTGCCGGAGAAAGAACTGTCTCTGGAGACGCTTATATTCAAACTCAATATTCCTACTCATACGCACATGAGTGGAGAAATCTGGGTATTCTTATCGGTTTTTGGATATTCTTCATTTCGTTGTATCTTATCGCCTCCGAACTCAACTCCTCGACATCCTCGACAGCCGAATTCCTTGTCTTCCGTCGTGGCCATGTCCCGGCCCATCTACGCAATTTGGAAAAGGGCCAGGGTGATACCGGTGCAGGGGAGGCAGCTCCAAAGCCCAAAGAGAAAGAGAGGGATACTTCTGCTATTCCATCACAGCATGACATCTTCACGTGGAGGAACGTATGCTATGATATACCAGTGAAAGGTGGCGAGCGCCGACTTCTCGACAATGTCTCCGGTTGGGTAAAGCCTGGGACACTCACAGCGTTGATGGGCGTTTCCGGTGCTGGAAAGACCACACTGCTTGACGTTCTAGCTAAGCGTGTCTCCATTGGGGTTGTTACTGGCGATATGCTTGTGAACGGTAAACCTCTAGACTCTAGTTTTCAGAGAAAGACAGGCTACGTCCAGCAACAAGACCTCCATCTACCCACTACAACAGTACGGGAGGCCTTGAGATTCAGTGCAGTTCTGCGTCAGCCCAAGGCAGTACCGAGGAAAGAAAAGTATCACTACGTTGAGGATGTTATTGAGATGCTTGGCATGCAGGACTTTGCCGATGCAATCGTGGGCACTCCTGGCGAGGGATTGAACGTGGAACAGAGGAAGCTCCTTACTATCGGTGTTGAACTAGCAGCGAAACCTGCGCTGTTGATATTCCTAGACGAACCTACTAGTGGCCTTGATTCACAAAGTTCATGGGCAATCTGCTCCTTCCTGCGGAAGCTCGCAGAGCACGGTCAAGCTGTTCTTTCAACGATCCATCAACCCAGCGCTCTTCTCTTCCAACAATTCGACCGACTATTATTTCTGGCAAAGGGAGGAAGGACCGTTTATTTTGGCGAAATTGGTGACCAATCCCGAACTCTTTTGGACTATTTTGAGAGCAACGGGGCAAGAGCTTGTGATTCGTCGGAGAATGTAAGGCTTTCACCTTCGCTTAACCACATTCCTACTGAATGCTAACATGAATCAAGCCTGCGGAATATATGCTAGAAATTATCGGTGCCGGTGCTTCAGGAAAGGCCACCAAGGATTGGGCTCTAGTTTGGAATGAAAGCCAGCAAGCCAAGGGTATTCAAACTGAGATAGATCGCATTCATGATGAGCGTGCATCTGCTGCGAGAAACACGCCAGAGGAGAACCAAGTCGGTGAGTATGCGATGCCATTTACATCCCAACTCTGGTATGTGACGCATCGGTCGTTCCAGGGATTCTGGCGCGAGCCATCTTACGTATGGGCGAAAATCATGCTGGCCACTATGTCCTCTCTCTTCATTGGATTCACATTCTTCAAGCCGGATAGCTCGCTGCAAGGCTTTCAAGATGTTATTTTCAGTGCATTCATGCTGACTTCTATATTCTCAACTTTGGTTCAACAGTATGTAGAGCCCCAGATCATTTCTGTACGGAGACTTACCAAGATCTTTTTGCTAGAATCATGCCCAAATTCGTTGTCCAGCGATCACTCTACGAAGTTCGCGAAAGGCCTTCAAAAGCATATTCTTGGGCCGCCTTTCTCATTGCCAATGTCATTGTTGAGATCCCATATCAAATTTTCGTTGGTGTGATTGCCTGGGCCTGCTACTATTTTCCTATCTATGGAGCAAATCAAGCCCCACATCGGCAGGGCCTCATGCTTCTCTTCGTGGTACAATTCTACATGTTCACATCGACTTTTGCTTCATTTGTGATCTCAGCACTACCAGACGCCGAAACAGGTGGAACAATCGCTACGCTTATGTTCATCATGACTCTCACATTCAACGGTGTCATGCAACCACCAAGCGCGCTACCTGGTTTCTGGATTTTCATGTACCGAGTTTCCCCTCTAACCTACCTAATCGCCGGTCTCACTTCGACTGGTTTGCACGGTCGGCAGATCCATTGCTCGGATGCTGAGCTGAGCGTCTTCAATCCACCCACTGGTTTGAGTTGTGGTGAATACTTGAACCAGTATGTCACTGCTGCCGGTGGACAGCTTTACAACCCGGAAGCCACGACTAGCTGTCAGTATTGTCAGCTATCAAATGCCGATCAATACTTGGCAGCTAGCAATATTTGTGAGTATTGAAAAAAAATATATTTGATTGCTTCTCAAATCAACTAACTGAATCTTGTAGTCTACAGCGAACGCTGGCGCAACTTCGGTATCGGCTGGGCTTACATCGGCTTCAATATCTTTGGTACTGTCATGATGTACTACATGTTCCGCGTCAAGCACTACAATCCCACGTCTTTGGTTCGGGGAGTTTGCCGGAGTGCTTCCTTCTTATGCCGCGTGTTCAAGCGGCGGTCTGGAGAGACCCCTAAAGGGAAAGAGGCAGAGAATGGCCGACTCGTTTAGATCTTGTCATTGGGAAGAGAAATTGTCAGGATACTGCTTGCTACTATCTCTCGCCATTACTTCTCCATTTCTAATCAGGAACTAATGAATAAACAATTTGTCTATTCTGATGTAAGGCGGATGATAGCGTCCACCGTACTGATCAGCTCCCGATTTCCTCTGATTGTCAATATGAATAAGCTTTACATGTCCTTTAAACCTCTTGGTCCCAAAATTTCTTCAACAGCACCTTTAATGTAGGTATGCCATCTTTTATCCAATATCCGTGCAATTGATGCAATCAACATACCGGGTCTTCCCCCAATATACCAGCAGTCCCCAATTTGATTCAAGATCACGCAGTAATGTGCAAGTAGAATGAGAGCCCCGGGATGCTTTTCCGAAGTCAAGGTAAAAAACCCCTGCTCGATGCGCACCGGCCAGGTCCCAAGTACATTCCACGCGGTTAAACCAATGGTCTTCTTGGCTCGATCAACAAATGCAATTGACTCGGCCAGAAGGTTCGCTGCATGGCGATACACCCTCGTGCTTTCATCCGACCAGGTGCCTTTCTTTGGAATGATAGACAAGAAAAAATCCAAATGAGATCGTTTGTCTTCATCGCTAATCTCCAAGTTTCTCTCCCAGGCAGCTGCCAAGATGCTGGCGCGGCCACTTTCAATCCTATGCCAGACATCTTTAAGCATATGACAGCCAGTGCGGATAAAATGCAGCCAGTGAGGGATGATATCCTCGGTGTTGGATAGGGTGGTATCAATTATAAGGAGAGGATTGGTGGAATGTTCAAGGTCGGTTGCCAAGGAGTATACCACGAGGAAATACCCAAATGCGATGATTGCGTCGCAATTATCTTCCGTTGGGTTATCAATGGCTTGGCGGAATTCGGGAATAGCGGCCTCTTGGTGGCAGCATCCTCGAAGTATGTATTTCTGGCGCTCGGCTGGATTTAAATGTGCCACGTGTAAAGCCGTGCAGGCTAGTATTCCTTGTAGGAGAAACTTCTTGTCACAAGCAAGTCCCGGTACGACTTCATTCCAGACATCTTCGGATTTCTTGTTGGTCACAAAGGTTTTGTATGAGGAGTCCAAATAATGGCTCAGCAATTGGGAATCGAGGGCATCCAAGTCGTACTTTTCTTGCACACTTTTTACCAGCGATGTTTCCAGTAGCTGGTCTGGGCTGACTGAAAGCTCTTGGAATTTTGCTATTTGACCTGATTTTTGCCGGGTGCTCTGGAGTTCTCGTTGGTTCTGGCCGGTGAAGTAGCGTAGCATTCTACCGCGAAAAAAGGTCTGCAGCAATGCAAAACACCAGTCAATCTCCGGAGTACCCTTTTTGGCATGAACTGCGGGCCAGTGATTTTCCATTCGTTTGTTTGAGGCGCAAAGGTAATCGCAGCCCGGCGCCAAACATCGCCATCCCTTCTCGGCTGGTAAATGTGGTACAGGGAAATCTTCCGGAAGAGGCGACTGCACTTCCTCTGGTCTCTTCAGTTTGAGATCCTTGGTATATGCAATAAAAGGGCGTCTCTTCTCGTGCTGAAGATGGTGGATGTCTTTCAGATGACGCCGGATCGCTCCAGGCTGAATTGCATAGCGACAAGTAGTGCAAATCAACACGCCGTAATCGTGTCGGTGGTGGAATAGTTCCGATGGGGCCAAGTCCTTCTCATTTTGGGCTTGGAATCTCTTGGTATTTCGGGCTCCTTCCAAGCTCTTCTGTCGGAGCATGTTGAATTTGAGCTCCTGGGCAGGAATCGGAATCAAGTGGAGGCTGACGGTGATGGCGCATGATGGGGGGAGACCAACATGGCTGAGGCTAACCCGAACCGGAGCGTCGATTACTCTTTTGGGATGAAAATGACGGTCCCGTTCGGGTTAGCGCGATATTCCATGCTTTACTTTGCTTCCTTTACTCCGTTCATATGAATCATATCTTCGGATTTAAGGGTTATCTCGACATCTCCGTACCAGGGTGATGGAATCTATGGATATAAGTATCTAGTCAATGTCGTCTGGATTTTCCGTTTGATTATTCTCGGACTACCTTACATTCGAGCATTCAAACTTCTCATCAATCGCAATATCATTCGTACTTCCATTAAATACTCCAAGGTTACTACTATTCAATCCTTGATTATGTCTACCAAGTTCGAACGCTCTGTACTTGTCACCGGCGGCACTTCTGGTCTGGGGTACGAATGTGCATTGAACATCGCCCGCAAATATCCAGAGTATCAGATCATCATTGCCGCGAGATCAGATGCAAACTCCTCAGCCGAAACAATCAACAAGACTCTCTGCCAAAACAATGCTCAATTCCTTCCCCTCGATTTACTACAACTTTCCAAGGTCCGCTCATTTGCCTCGGATTGGGAATCTCGTGATTTCCCGCCAATCCAATCAATGGTTCTGAACGCAGCCTTGCAATTCCCTGGCCCTGTCGAATATTCCGATGATGGCTTCGAAAAGACGTTTGCCGTCAGCCACATTGGCCACGCCCTCCTCCTATCCCTTTTGCGACCTCACCTCGCCGATACCGCTCGTATAGTCATCGTATCGAGTGGAACGCACGACCCCCTGCAAGATACCGGCATGCCCGACGCCATCTACAACACTGCCGAAGAGCTTGCTCATCCTACCCCGGAATCGGCAAAGGCAAACGGTCGCCAGCGCTATACTAGCACCAAGTTGGCCAACGTCCTATACACGTACGCTCTGGGTCGCCGCTTTGAGGCTATCAACAAGCGATACGGAAAGAAGTGGACAGTCACTGCGTTTGATCCTGGTTTGATGCCCGGGACGGGATTGGCAAGGAAGGCAAGCACCATTGAGAAATTCCTTTGGTCGCGGGTTTTGCCTCACATTCTGCCGCTCTTGCGCCTTGTGATGTCTCCCAATGTTCATACTGTGCAGGAATCTGGGAAAGCACTTGCCAGACTGGCGGTTGGTTTGGATGTTGAGGGGTCTAGTGCGGTGTACTATGAGGGTATGAAGGTTATCGAGTCTAGCGAAGTGAGCCATGATCAGGCGAAGCAGGATGATTTGTGGGAGTGGACAGTGGGAACTTTGGCTGCTGATGATAAGGAGAAGAGATTGTTTGAGTTTGGTGACCTTCAAGTTGTTTGACTTGAAGCTGCTAGTGGTTGAATGTTGTAATAATCCAGATTGAAGATAGAGGGCATACCTAGGTAGGTATCTATTAGAACTAGTAAGCAGTATATATCCACACTACTGCCCACCTGGGCAGTTGAACAATGAAAAACCTCTCGAAGTTCAAGTTAGAAACAGCTCAATATTTTGCTAAATAACCTGTCAAATTGAACTTTCCAGCCCTGGAGAGATGATGAGAATCGAATTTCCCCAGCCATGAACAATCCGGGGCTGCTTATTTCATAAAGTCCGAGTTGGGTGATTTGCATCAATTAAGATTGATTTCAGAAGAAAAAGTGGTTCTTAGAGCCAACTGTGGAGCATGATTACATCAACTAGCATCATTGGTCTAGTGGTAGAATTCGTCGTTGCCATCGACGAGGCCCGTGTTCGATTCACGGATGATGCATTGCTTTTTGCAATTCTTCTTTCTTGTCCTCCAGGACTGGATTTCCAATGGCAGGATTTTTTTTTTGGGTTGCAGAGATTCGAAAAATGACAAAGCTACCTTGGGTCGTGGAAAAGTCCATCGCAGCCTTGCATCAGGTGGCCGGACTTACCAGGCTATGCGATTTGGATACTAATTAGCTCCTACTAGTACGAACGGTTGTCAACCTACCGCCATACAATGGTGAAATCTTGACCATTGGAAATGAGTAGACAATTCATTTTGCAGATTGACAAGAAATATCTCGTTCTAGGTTAAACATCAAAGGTGAAATTACCTAATGTAGATAGACAGGAGCTGGGAGGCATTAGATATGAGACCGGGTGACTTCCGAGAAACGGATGAAAGGGAAGACTGGGGTATTATGCAAGAAAATCGAGAGAAAAAAATGATCATGTGCGCCAAACGCTGGAGATGGGAGACTGAAGGAATGTCGAGAGCGGGTTAAATGAAGTCAAGGTGGGAATTGAAGCCAGCTGCCTTGGGTGTGGAAGATATAACAGGTCTTTGCGGTCCCATTTCCGCCACCATGATGCCCGATGAAGTGGGTAATTAGAACGAAGGGCGGGTCACAACGAAGGCATTAACAAGATGGCTATTTTGCCATCCTTGATCAGGTAGTGATTGATGCTCCTTGAGCATGTGGCCAAGATACGCAATTCGAACCCGTTGGAGATTGGAGAGCTGCGAAGAAATTAGAATGAGACCAACAGCCAAAGACAATTATTTTGAAACACACCTCTCCTTCTTGATGTATTTTGCGAGCCAGGAAACCGACACTCTGGCTCTTGCCTATCAAAAGTACAAGGTCTGGCCCACCGCGATCACTCAGTCGGACCTGGACACTAATCAGGTCTCGCTCACTCGTCTTGCCTTTCTCATCACGGCGCCGTTCCAGGTCCTCGGCTATTAATTCGTCACCCGACGCATCGTCTGTCGCAAGTTTGCCATCCGACAGTGCTTCGGTATCATCATCCTGCCCGATATCATCCCTTGACCGGTCCGCTGTAGAGGAAGGGCTCTGAACCATATTTTCCGGGTCACTGACGATACATTGTGGCAGGCGATACAGTGCGCCTTGTTCATCGTAACATCCCTCACAGAAATCACCCGTGGGCACAGTAACGCCCGCAGCATCGACGATACTCTGCGCGGTAGAGAGATCACCCGCGCGCATCAGTGTTATAGCCGTTGAAAGCGCAGCCCATACCTCCTGGCGACCGGTCACTCTCGTCTCGAAGAACTCGCGACGCTCGCGATCCAAGTCAGCCCGACTCCAAGCGCGCCGCTTGCTGTACCAAACATGTAGGCGGACAGGTTCATTGTAGTGTTCATTCAGGGCGAGGTTTGGATGTCTTACTCGGCGGCGACCGGTCTGTGAATGCGCCGAGGGATCGCTGGCAGTACTGCGTGTAACCTGCGATCGACTGTCCTGGATTTCCCGGTCGTCTTGGGATTCATCATCACGCGACGGCACGGACGCGCAGCAACCCTATCGGGAAGCGGGTGGAGATGTTAGCTGAGGCTCTGCGACATGATTTTCCGCGGTGGATATGCGCCCAGATAGTTTCGCTAAGGACGAGGGATGAGTCGTGTGATAGGGCGGTGATCTGGGCGATGGCGAGGGGGATTATTGTCCGAGAGCGAGACTTGAAAGGGACGTACCATTTTGTTTGCGATATGGACACTCCATAAGCCGGGGCAAAAGGGCGAAGAGAAGGAGGGGTGGAAGGTGGGACGATGATCCTAGCTCCAGCAAAATGCGGAGGAGTCAAGGGAACGAAGATCATGAGGAGAGGGGGAACTTTTGAGGGAAATGCGCCCCGGCCCCCTCCCCCCAGGCACATTCCACGGGCTGCTCTGTTGCTTAGCTTTTAAATCAAGCTTTGATGATGTCAAGCCGATTCGTGCTGTGTTTTGGTCGTTTTTCCTTTTCACTTTCTCACTCTTCTATTTCGCTCAGATGCACAGTTGTCGTACAGCGTACTATGTGCTTACTAGAGGTACGACAGTACTGATCGGACATGGGTTTAGTTAGCACTTTTGTACTACTTATTTTTATAGAAAAAAAAGATAGAAGTTCACAGGTAAAAATGGCGAAGACATCATCGCACCCGGTTGCTCGGATGTGAGCACATCATTACGTTGCTTCTATTGCCAGACACATTAGTGACTAACAACTACTAGGCACCACCGAATAGAACGAAGGAATTCCATGTATTTGGAAACGACACGTGTAGAAGATACTGGTACTAGTGTACAGAAAGCACTACTGCAATGTTTCTAAGGTTGAATATCTTGCATCTACCTAGAGGTTCTGTTTGCAAAAACATCAGGCCGATTGCGGTTGTGGAGCGCTATACTCTGTTCCAACTTGTTTCAAAAGTAAGTTATAAATACAGGATATCAATTATCATAATCTATTTTAGTCCTCGTCCTCATCATCATCATCATCGTCACTGCCAAAAATGGCCTTGAAGACATCATCGCCCGGTCGCTCAGCCTCGAGCGCATCATTACGTTCGGGCTCTACAACCGGAGGAGGGGCAGGGACGCTGGTTTGTTCTAGGATTTGCCCTGTTGTTCCAGAGTTGATAGGAGAAGGTTGAAGGCCAGATTCCGCCATTATCATATCCATCACGTCCTGTGATATCAGCTCCCTGGCCTTGGTGTCGGGTTGAGGACCGCCAGACGGGAAGCGTGACCCAGAACCAAAATCTGTTGGTTGTTCCCCAGGATCTTGTTGGACGTGTGATGGGGGCTTGATATTGAATCGCTTGCAAAGAAGACGCGATGGGTAGAAGGACGTAGTGCTTCGGGTCATTGGTCCGAACATGCCAATCTTAGCAGCTGCCACGGCTGGGTCGTCCGGTTTCTCATTGGGCCGACTCAGTGGATCGTCATTGGAGTCGGGCGCATCTGAAGCAACTTTAGGCCCCGAGGAAGCTGATGTGAACCGGGACGCCATGATATTAGACATGGGTTTAAAGACCTCCGCGGCACGCGCAAACTCTTGCATCTCGTTGACCCACTCATCGGTGCTGGACCCTGGCAACCTGACCGGGAGAGTGTCGCGTATCTCTGCCCGAACTTCGAGGAAATTGCGATATCGACCTCGTTTCTCTTCGTCTTCCGAGTAGGGCATCCATCCGCTGACAGCCCGAGTTAAGGCCTGGACAGCTGTCTGTTTGTCCAGCTTTGGAACTAGATCCCATAGGTCTTTTCGTTTTTGCGAGTCTGACATCTCATAGCCCTTCGGAGCACCCTCACCGAGAGCAGGGGGCAGATTGGCATTGCCAGTGAGCTTTGCAATCCGCTCGCGAGCCTCTGGGGTCATCCAATCAAAAACGGATTTTCCAGGTAGCTGGGTTTCACCTAGGACTGCAGCTCGGGATGTAGGATCGAGTATGGATGATTTGGCGGCATCCGCCGTCGAGACATACTCTGAGGTTTTCTGGTCGTTAGATGTCCGTTGCTGAGCAGACTTCCAGCCCTCAGGGATCGTGGGAGGGCCGTATCTCTTGTCCGAAATGGCTAGGCCCGACAGAGCATCGGCAAGGACGAAACCGTCCAGCGGTAAGCGTCCATCACGGCATTTTCTGAAACCTCCAGCTCCTCGAGCTGCAACAACTTTTTTGGAAATGAAGACAGGTTTTTCGCCAAGTAGGGGGTTGGAGGAGCCAATTGTAGGTTTCGCTTCGTCTGCTTTGCCTTTCTTCTTCTTCTTTTTATCCCCACCAATGGTTTTATTATAAGAGATTTGAGGCCCTAGAGAGTAGGGGTCTTCGTCATCGGATCCAGTGTCATTGAGAATGCCGACTCCGAGGCCCCCTCGGCGCGGTTGTTTGGCCTTGGGTAATTTGGCGGATTTCGTTTGGTCGGCAAGACGGCCACCGAAGAACGAATCTAACTCTTCGGGTTCCTCTTGTGAAGTTTCCTGAGCTGCCAGTCGCGACTCTCCTGCAAAACCCAGGCCTTTGTTATCGGACTTTCGGACAAAAGAGACCATCCTTGGGTTCTCAGGTGCGAAGAGATATGTCTTGTCGGTCCCCTCGCCGCCACGAGCTGAGGTATCGCCGAGGTCTGCCTTGCGTCGTACTTTGGGACCGATTCCCTGGCCTTCACGCCAGCCCATTCTCTTCAGTAGTTTAACACCCATTGTTTCGCCACCGGTCTTGAGCAAGTCCATGAGCCCTGTCCGTCGGGTCGGATCTGTGTCTGTGGAACCAAATCCAGCGAACCCCTCCGCGGTTTGTAAATTTCGTGACTCCTCTTGCTCCCTCAAATCCTCTTCGTCCATGAAGTCCTCGGGTCGTTGCTGGGATTGTTGTTTCGCATCTTTCGCATCGCGGGCGCGATTTTGGCGGGAGGAGACGAAAGTGGCCGGGGTCCATCCTTCTTTTGAGCCAACGCTGTTGAAGTAACTGGAGAGACAGGTAGATGTCAGTAGATGATCCTTCATAGAAGATGGCTATGGAGCCTACCCTGCACTAAAGCCACCAGTAAAGGCGCCATGGAGGCGTTTCCTCCCCCGCTCGTCGGTCACCTCTTGCTTCCAAACCGGCATGTACGAGCCATCATCGCGCGCGGCTGAGTCTAATGGGGGTAATGGCGTGCCGTAGAGAGCGTATGGGGGTCGCAAGTCAGCCTGATCGGCCTCAAAGGTCGCGCGGGGACGCTTTGCGGCCATCCTTGAAGCTTTGAGAGCTTACAAGGGAATGTTGAAGGTGAATGCGGTGGAGCGGAGCAGTGCAATCATTTCCTTGGCGCGGCAGACCCACTCAGTAAATACTCTACTCAGCTTCATAGTTAACACTAGTTAATTAGCACTAGTTAGTCAATAATTAAACAAGCCATACTTTAGGCCATACCTTTCCTACCCTCAATGACAAAGTTTAGCCGACTCAAAATTGGAGCTGGCCGGATTTTCCGAACCCAAAGCTTATCCTCCTTTGGCCCCCACACAATCCTTGCGAGCCCTTGGGAAGGCCACAAGCCCCAATCTCCTTGTGCAGATGGGCATGCTTCTCCTCGTATTCATCTCCTCCTTCACTCCACAAAAATGGATCCTCCCGCATATCCTTTACCCAATCCACTATTTAATACCAACGACATCATGGGTGATGCGGTGAGACCGTCGTCAGATCTGTCCACGGAATTATCTGGCCCCCGATCTCGCAGTTGTGCCCAATGTCGATCCCGGAAAATCAAATGCGATCGCCAGATTCCTTGCAATGGTTGTATCAGATCTGGATCCCAATGTGCTTATCCTGCTGGACCCGGGAGGGCCCCGAAAAGGCCACGGAGGGCGGTTGATTCTCATGTACTTGATAGGTTATCCCGCCTGGAAGTAATCATGAAACAAATGGGGAGAGATAGAGGCCAAAATACTACGGAGCGGCCCGCTTTCACACAGCCAGAAGAATCAAGTGTCCAAGTCGGACTGGCATCGAACAAGGAGTCGAGTACGGTTGAGAAACAGCTGGGTCGATTGGTCATTGATGATAAGCGAAGCTACTATGTGAGCAATAAGCTATGGGCAAATTTGACAAACGAGGTAAGTCGTCAATACTTGGTTGATATGGTACCTATGTATGTTGTCTAATCGATGTTGAGGCAGATTGAAGAGCTACGAGACTTGCTTCATGATCCAATATCTGATAATGAGGAGAATCCTAACGACGACCTCAATCAACCCGTACTGGACTCCACATTAGACATGGGCTCCAACGCCGCAATACTGGGATTCCAGAAAATTGCTCCATCGATGCGTTCTTATCACCCGCCACTGTCGCAGTCGGTGACTTTGGTGGAAATTTTCAAAGAGAGAGTTCTACCCTTGGTGCACATATTTCATGCCCCGACACTGATGCGTGATTATTGGGATGCTATATCTTCTCTCGATACTACTTTGGATCGAAACAGCGAGGCCTTGCTGTTTGCTATCTACTATTCCACTGTCATCAGCATGGAATCGGCACAATGCGAGAGCGTTATAGGTGTTTCACGGGAGGTAGCTCTCAGGCACTATCAGTTTGCGGTGCAGCAAGCCATGGCACGAGCTGACTTTCTCAACACCCAGAGTGTGACATTACTTCAAGCCGTGGTTCTTTTCTTATCTGCGTTACGCAATGTAGATGCCTCTCGTCGAACATGGTCTCTGACTGCACTTGTTTTCCACATTGCTAGAGCCATGGGGTTGCACCGTGATGGAACATCCTTCGGACTACCGCCTCTTGAGACAGAACTGAGACGTCGTTTATGGTGGCATATATGCTTTCTTGACATCAGGTCCTCAGAGCATCATGGATGTCAACCAATAGTGCAAGACTCGGCATTTGACACTAAAACGCCACTCAACATCAATGATAGCGACTTGGTACATGGAATGACCGAGCCACCCATAGAACGTGAAGAGGCTACCGAAATGACATTTTGTCTTGTTCGTTGCGAAGTGCTCCGCGTGGCATGGAAAACCAGCTACTTTTCTCCGAGCGAGATGTCCCCCAACAACTCGGAACGCCAGGAAGACGAAGCATCATCTACCAACCCAGAGCAAATGGCCAAAAACTTGACAGAGAAACTAGAGGAGCAATATATTAAACATTGCGACCCTAGTGTCCCATTTTTCAAGATGTGCATGACCGTGGCGCGACTGATGATTACTCGAATATGGCTGGCTATTTACTACCCACCAAGGAAGAAGTCTAGCCCGAGTCTACCTACCGCTAACAGAGACAAGATGTTTCTCACAGCAATAAAAATACTTGAATTATCGACCGTTATTATTACCAGCCCCGAAGTTTCTAAATGGGCATGGCATTCCAAGACTCATATACAATGGCATGCTGTTGTGATTGTCTTGGCTGAAATCTGTTCACGCCCACCATCCCAAGAGTGTGATCGTGCGTGGGAGTGTGCAAATACAGTATACAGCAGATGGAACTTGCGAAATGATAAGGCCAATATTCTCTGGAGACCAATAAATCGCTTAATGGCCAAAGCAAATTCTGTCCAAGAGACTGAGAAGAATGACAAGCGTGAAGCACATACAAAGACAGCTGGCATGGCGTCAGCGACATCCAGCGAATCGACGGCGGATATTAGTATACCACCGGGAAATTTGCTGGAATCATCTGATATGCTCTTCAGCCAGAACTTTTTTAACGGGGCCCACGATGACTTTGAGTCGATGTATAATGACTATACAATGGGTGATTGGGCTGCAGATGGCTTCGGTTCTAATTTCAGTGTGGAATCGGCCCCAATTCTGTAAATATTCAGGTTCAGGAATTTTGCCTGAAAGAGATGTGCCAATGGAAAACGTTCTATATTATAGTGCTTGAGAAAAGATCTAATCAAAGAAATCTAAAACTTTGTAAGGGTATCATAGTCCCATAATTTCATCCCATATTAATTTCCCAGGCAATGTGCAGGCACTACCAAGCCACAAAACCGACCTCAACTCGGTTTCAAAGTCTTCCCATATTGAAAGGCCATGGCAGGCTGTGTGAAGCTGAAGTCTGTCCACAAACCACTCTCTTTCTGAAGAACCCGTCGCGGCAATGCCTCCAAGCGTCAGCATCCACACATATAGGCTGCGGGCAGACGGTGGAGCATCTTTGGTTTCTTGGTGATATGCCTGGAGCTCTATTTTCAACATTCGACTGAGTGTTGCCAATGGAGCGCTTTGCGGAGGGAGAGGAAAAGCCACACCGACCCCGAAAATGACCAATGCTAGCCGACATGCTTCGTAGAGAGGATAGGTGCTGGCGTGTGAGGAGCCAAGCTGAGTTGATGGAAGCAGAGACATGATGTGCCATTGTATGATGTTTCGATGGTCACAGAGCATATCGGTTCCAATTGGCATACCGTCTTCATACATCTCAACTTCAGACACATATGTACGATGGCACTGGAAGATTGTTTGCATCTCGTGTGGCATATGAGTAGATTCGAAAGGATCAAGATTGGGGTCAATGACGTCTTTTAAATCGAGGTAGCCTCCAGTCTGGAGAGAGATGTAGGGAAAACTTGGACGGGAGAGAGACCGACTAGCTCCCAAAACACTGGAGCTAAAGTAAGGAGAAATTTGTTAGTAACGCCGAATGAACTTCCGAGTGGTGGAAGAAGAGAATGCAAACATACTAGGAAATGATGGCGGCTAGGCCTGGGAGTTCTATCTTTTCCAAGCCTCCCCTGAAGCGTACTAATTGAACCAGGCCGGCCTGATGAACTGGGTGCGGAGACAAACGGCCATAGACATCTAGCCATTGAAGGGATGTCAATGGGGCTGGAAACACCCGCTCCTTGCTGTCATTCCACATCGGCCCTTCCACCTTGTTTGTTGCCATGCATAGAACACAAAGGATGATGCAATCAGTAGCCGCACCTGAAATGTTCTGAATTGCCTGATTTACTCTCATAATGGCATCTGCTTCACACACTGCCAATCTCTTTGCATCCTCGTCATTGAAATGTCCTCTTTGCTTCACTAGCCATAGCGTCCGTCTATGAGAGTATGACCCGAATAATAAAGTACTGTGAAGTGCATCGTGTGTGGCAGAATTGATGAGCCATGCATTGACTCCCGGGTGGTTGGTACTGGTATGTGACGGGGGCAAAAGTCCTGGCCAGAGCATGCTTAAAGCTAACGTGGGTGAAAAAAGGTCAGTTGAAAAGTCAGTAAGCGAAATACACAATAGGATCGAGGGCTCTTACAGTATTTATTGGCATTACTGACCAGTTGAGAGGGTAATGGTGAGGTTTGAGGGTATTGTTGGAAGGGATCCAGAATGTTGGGTGTAATCCCATGTATATTCATCGTTCCAGAATTGCAATAATCAGACCATTTCGACTCCTGTATTTGAGCGGAGAATAGAGAATGCATTTGTTCAAGTGTGTCGAGTGGGAAAGCTTCAGGATGTTCTGAGTCTTTTCCAGAGACTTCCCCTTCTAGTGCGCTGAATAAATGATCTAAATCATCATCGGGCGTGCTGGATTTTGAAGAGGAAGTCTTGATAGCGAATGAGCTATCCGAATACTCCCGCTCTTCAGAACTCGAGTGTCTGTCCCTGTATGAAAACCCGACAGCGACTTCATCTCGCACACCCGGCTCGTCTCGATTCACGTTTGTTTTCTTCTTTCGAGCTTCTGACCATCGCCATTTTCCAGCATGAGACCTGACAATGTGGAGGTTGTTTGTTTTCCCTTCGGTTGAAGATGGATCTGAAGTAATAAAACACAGGTTCACCTTCTCCCGACGTGACTTTTGAGTTGGTCGGCTCATGTTGTGTGGAAAAAGCAAAAATAATCTTGGAAAGAAGAGTGAGGTTTCAAATTTAGCACACGAATAGACACTGTAGTTGAGATGATGACTGATAGATAACCAAGAGGGAAGACTAATTCCAGATGAAGGGTCCAACGGTCCCTTTTAATACTGAGTAGGGGTCCCGATTATAAGAAATGTGGGAATTTGTTGGAGAGCCTTCCCTTAGTGGCGGAGCTGTCATTAGGGTTGATCTTCGGGTTGGTAACAGCAGGCACTTGCTGTATACTAGTCTCCGCCAATGCGGCTGACCAGGTGGACCCCGAGACGAAGCCATGCCAAGAGAAAAAAGAGTCCAAAAAGAGGAAACAATTGTAAATATCATCACTTTTCTTGTTGGACTCTAGATTTCGAGGAAATAAACTAGTAAAAGAAAGACACGGAGTTGCGGGAGACCTCGTGAGCACAAGATGCTATTCTATTCTATTTTGGGAGCCAAGGAGGATATCACAAATAAATTTAGAGCCAACGCAGGCCGTTATGCCAGGTGGTGTCAATCATGCATAGTAAATAAGCCTCGTTCGTGGGAAACGTGAGAAATAAAATTATGGAGACGTTCTTCTTTAAGCAGTAACTGTACTAACCCAATCCGGCCCGAACTTTTTCGGAGGCGCCGACTAGCCACCAATAGGCCTCAATCTCGATCTGCACCCAAGGCCCTGGGTCGAAAAGGCATTTAAGCGAGCTGAATTTTGGCCGATTTGTAGCTTCATCGGAATGGTGGCTGCCCGGTTCTGGATATGACCTCCCCGGATGGTCCCCGAATGGCCTTAGTGGCCCCGATAATCCAAATGCTCTGAAACCTGGGCTCTCTCCTTGCTCGTCCGAGTGGATACTCACGATTTGGGGTAGCAATCAACGTTACCCGATCGGTTTTCAGCTAGCCGAGCTGAATATCTAGCGAGTCCCGCTCGATTTAAGCATACCACTTAACTTCTCTGGGAGTAAGATCTGCACCTGACGAATAGTCACAACCCTTACCTTTTGCCATTTCGGGTAAAGTCAAGCGGTTTCTCACCGTTCGAAGGACGGAGTTATGCAGCAGATAATCGCGGCAAGGCTATGCTTTGACCCTCTTTGCCGTTTTATGCCTAGCTCCTCCCACTGTGGAATTGGCAAGAAGAGCTTTTCCGCGGCTTGATCAGTCAATCAGCAACCAGGCGAATTTACCGGTTGGGGGGGAAAATAATGAACCTGAATCATGTAGTGACTAAAAGAGTTCAATAAATGGGAAATCAGTGTGGAACCTTTCAGATATTGCCTGTCAGGTATAGATGGCGTGGATTGGGGAGTCCAGAGCGGACGGCGTGAACATCTAAATGGTCTGATTTCAACAGAAGATGATGTCTCAGATCAAAACCCTTGGTGGTATGCACAAGGCTGGTGGCTGATAAGCTTGGACCTTGAAGTTAAGTGAGCCTCCTCTCACCATATCCCTAATGGACCAAATGTCTTGGTTGGTACCCCGGCAGCTCATTCGATACTTGATCACATTGAATCCTTCCAATCTCAAGTGAATCCTTCAAACTTCAATTGAATATTTGTTTGAAAGTCAATTTGAAGCCATTTGTGAACACTGATTTACCTCATGCTAGGTATCATTAATCATGCTGTTATACAGCTAGGAGCCCCTGATTTACCTCATGCTAGGTATCATTAATCATGCTGTTATACAGCTAGGAGCCCCTGATTTACAACGGGGCATGACCATAGATACTCGGAATATTCTCGGAAATCTCGAGCTCGAGTCATTGCTGAAACAGGCAGCACGGCATTAATGCTATTAGAGACCCATATTCAGCAAAGTACTATTTGATACTTAATTTCTATAGTGTAAGGCTAATACGTGTCATTTATTGCAATTTAACTTTGCAGGAAGAAGTTAAAAATATTCTGGATGTAGAAATACCCGGAAACCTCAGGCATAAACTACTAGTATTGCCTGAGGCAGGAAAGCAAGGCAGATTTCGGCTTTCGCCTGCCTAGGTGGGCCTCCACGAGGCTCCATCTATTCTGTCATCTCTGAAAACTGAGAATTCCTTCCTACCTATCTTCTCATTTATGCTCATTGTATTGTATGGCATAGGTTCGTTCAGAGAAGGGAAGAGAGAAGAGAGAAGTTAAAAGCATATAGAAGGCAGTTCAGGTTCGACCTGTTCATTTATCTTTCCCTCCAGGGCTCTGTCCCCATCATATTTCCTGTTCGGCATTTCTATACTTATTGCGTGGAGGCTGCATGGCTTGATGCCTCCGAGTCACCTTGCATACTCAAACTTCAAGTTGGCTTGCATCAGGGTTTCCGGACATTTAATTATCAAACAGAGAAAGTAATCTTCACTGTATCCGCGGAATGATTCCCAATAATAAGGACTTTCTTATTGGTGCCCGCATCCCCTAAATTCCGTGGCCACTGAGCCGTCGGCGACGTCGGTAGCTGCTGCCCGTCACTAATATCAGTCGTGAAAAGCTTCATTACTAAAGGATATCCAGTCTCCTTTTTTCGATCTATTTGATAATCCTAGTATCCCGAATGTCGAAATTGAAAATATACACCGCCGCTCATCTTACCGAGGGCAAACTTCGAAAAAGATTTATTACTAATTCAAAGACCCTTAGTTATGAATTAACCTTGTGCATTTCAAAGTTTTCGCACGGATCTTCGGAAGAGGTTTGACCTCGAATACAACGCTGTATTTATTCGGGTTATAAGAGCCCGAAGGAAACATCCGTGGACCTCATGCCGTACCATAAATTCTCAAAAGAAATTGCTGGTAATGTCTTCAATATCTTAATTATCATAATATTATGATTCCTTCGGGCTAGCATTTGTTGCGAAAGAATCATGTCGATTAGATTCCGGCATTTGGTGACAATTATGTCATTTTCAGTCTCCTCCGTCCAAAGCATCGATGCTTTCCTACCAGAGTCATTTGCCGTTGGTCAGACCCCGCTTATGCAAGCGGATAGTGCCTACCATGCAAACGATATAGTCCTCAATTCCAGCTTTCCTGTGCTTACCCTTGACTATGGTACTGAAGTTGGGGGATTTCCTTTCGTGGAAGTTGAGAGCCCTATCTCAGCTGTCCAAATACAATTGAAATACTCTGAACCATACTCTGGCCTCGAATTGCCACAGGGCGATGGACCTTGGTAAGTTTACAATTAGCTGCACTTAATCTTCTATGAGTCTCATCAAATTTATAGGCTCTTTACAAATGGACTTATGAATTCGTTTCGACATGAAACCTTCAACATCTCTCATTCAGGGACAATCGAGTCTTATTTTATACAGGGTGGTCTTAGATGGCAATCTGTCTCACTCATTGGCGATACACCTATCACTATCCGAAAAGCTGGCCTGCGGCCCTCGGTGAACATAACCAATCCCGAATCCCTACCGGGGAGCTTCAGCACATCTAAGGATATGTACCAGAAAGTTTGGAACTTAGGCGGACGCGCAGTCCAAGCAGCTTGCGTTGAGAAATATTCCCAGCCGTCTACATGGGAAATTTCTGATCAAGGGGCCTTGATAAGAGGCCAGTTTCCGGCGGTGTCTGCCCTCGGAAATGGCTTTGGAAATTATACCCTGGAATTTCGCACAAAGATTTTTACCGGAGGCACGGGCTGGAGGGTTGCTGGAGGTGCAAATGGAGGATACGGCCCTTATTTCGTGCTGACGTCCAACCAAGACGAGCTAATCAGCCCCAATATCACGTCGCTCCCTCGGAACTCTTTGGTAGCAGGATATGGGTTCACTCTAATCAACCAAACCATCCTGAACTCAGCAGCTCCGCACACGTATCAAGTTTCGGCAATGATCATCGAGAACGATAGGTGGTATCGAATCAGGACTTCAATCAATGCAACCGGTTATGCAATATATGTCGAAGATCGGCTTATTGCATTTGTTGAGAATCAATATTTCCGCGACTACATTGACTCTACATGGGGCTCTGGTAGCTTGACTGATGGTAATTTTGGATTTGGTCCTTACTTGAGTCAAGCTGCCTATGTGCGAGATGTTAAAGTCACAGCGGCAAATGGCACCGTAATTTATGAGAACTCACTCACATCAACCGACATTCTACAAGAGTATGCTATTGCTAGCAACGAATATGCCGTGTGTCTTGATGGTGCCAAGCGGGACCGGACTGTCTGGATTGGCGATTTTGCTCATACTGCACGCATAATTGCGGCTAGCAGCGGTCGATATGACTTTATCAAGGGTATGATTGAATTTGAATTCGATTGGCAGTACCCTCCCGGACCTGCCCACGGCTTAGTCCCTATACAAGCTTATATGGGGGCTGGGCAAAAGTATCGAGAGGTATACTACCCTTCGGAATTTGGTGAAACAGATTATCAATTCTTCTTCCTCTTGGTATTGACAGATTATTTTGCCCTGACGAATGATCGAGGTTTCTTGATTGAAAATTGGAACAGAATCAAGCTGCTAGTCACCACCCTTGTTGATCGTTATTATGATCAAACATCTGGCCTCATGGCCAGCTCTGACTCTTCGTGGTTTACAGCCCAGGGATCACAAAACGCCACTGCCCCGACAGCTCTGTTCGTTGTTGCTCTGAACCAATTGATCGATGTGGCAACTTCCTTGGATGACCCGTCGTCGGTTTCTGCCTGGAAAGATCTCTCCAGTAATATTACTGCTGCCATCAACGACAAGCTCTGGAATGAATCTCTTGGGGCATATGGGCTTTCCCTCAACCAACCCAACGACACAGCTATTCTCGCAACGGCATTCACAATTAGAGCAGGTATTGCTACATCTGATCGTGTTGCCAGCAGTGTTGCCAGATTATCTGATACTTTCCTTTCAATCGGCTACAAGGACGACTCAGCCACATCAAATGCAGCCAGTACCCAGCTTTCACCAAACACGCAAGGCTTCCTCCTTGAATCCTTATTTATCGCACACATACAGTACGGAGTTTCGGCCAGCGAAGTCTTACCAGCAATTCGCAATCTATCTGAAGTCTTCTGGCCCAAGATGGTTACCCAGAAGGAATACTCCACGGGGGCTAGCTGGGAGTACCTTTACCAAGATGGCAGTCCTGGAATCGGTATATTCACAAGCTTGAGCCACCCTTGGGGAGGTGCACCAACTTATATCTTTAGCAATTACATTCTTGGTATTCGAACAGAATGGAATGCACAAAAGATAGAGTATGAATGGATTTTCAATCCTGCTTGGGAGATCGCCGAGGGTCTTGGTCTGGAGTGGGCCAAAGGGAAGGTTCCGTTATCCAGCGGAGGTTATATCGAGGCTGAGTGGAGTCTTTCGGCGCAGGCAAGAAAGTCTACATCGAAACCAGTGATGAATGCCAAAGTGGTTGGAAACAAGGCAATCTCGATCAATGTCAAGGAAACAAATATTTAGCGAGCTTTGTGGCAAATAACTGAACCATATTACCGGGTGGCTTCTCTTAAAGTGACTCCGATTATCATTATTGAAATATAAAGCTCTTATCCGCTCCTTTCAGTAGCTGAGGTATCAATTAGTATGTGAAACGATGACCTACGAGAATGGTCTACGGCACTCCGCAACGGCAATCAAATCAGTGTGTCTGCCAGGCTGGCACTGTCCCAGAATTACTATAGCTTACCCCCTTAGAGAAGCTATTTATGAAAAATTGCTTGGTACTAATAGTTTAGTACACTGGTTAGGATAGTTACTAGGTAAGAGACTAAGTAGTTTCTGAGGCCTGATTATAGATATTCTCAAGCTATTTATGCACTACAATAGTATGTGTCCAAACTGCTCGGGAGCCATCTCCAGGCTCACCCTCACCTCCATCTTCTCTTCTCCATAGCTCTGAAGATCACCACATTGCTATCATTCGTTCATCCCGAGTAATAACACCAATAATTTTGGGATTTTGCCACCCTGACAGAAATACTGGGTTGTCTGCAATTATAGAGCGCCGCATTGGTCCCTGAAACTAATCAAATGAAAATTACTAGTATTATCGCCGATCCAACGTCCTCAGGTAACAAGGGGTCTGATCGCTAGGTTACAGCTGCTCTACCTCATGAACGCGGGGGTGGGTTCTCGGGCTTTCTGCTACCGAGGGTGATCAATTAGGGATTTCCCAGAGTCAAGATGTAGTTGCTCGTGTTGGTGGGTTAGTATTGGTTATAAAGTACGTAGCCTGCTGTTTTGCTCAAGCCTAGCGTACATGCGTTGTCAAAATGGTTTCACTCCTCAATTTAACTGGCGTCCATACTCTTATCCTTTGGCTAATCCTGGAACTTTCGGGAGTTTCCGAAGCATGCTGGGGAAATATCACCTGCAGTGGTCCATTGTAACCGTCTTTCCCTGGTCCGTGAGAGAAGAATAATTTTTCTCCTTCGTCCCGTGCCGTTTTCCCCAAGAGAGTTCTCAACGTAGACAATGGCTTTCGGTCAAACTACCCCAGCCACCACCAATTGAAGTTCAACGGTTCTCTAGTCATATATGACTTTGGACAGTTGGTTGGAGGATTGGTCACTATCAATTTTACGGCTAAGGGAGATGGCTCCATTGGTCTGAGCTTCACTGAAGCCAAGAATTTTACCGGGTTTATCTCGGATGAGTCTAATGGGGGCTCGACTCCTGATGGCGCGCTCTTATTTGAAGTATCATCTCAGTCCCCGACAAAAGGGAGCTACTCAGCCCCTATTGAAAAGCTTAGCGGAGGATTCCGATACCTGAGTGTATTCACCCTCACCAATTCCACAAATTTCGAAGCAACTATAGAGTCGGCAGAGGTCAACATTTCTTTTCAGCCTTCATGGCCAAATCTCAGAGCATATGGGGGCTATTTTCACTCAAGCGACAATTTACTGAATCGGATCTGGTATGCAAGTGTGTATACACTGCAGTCCAATAACATCCCACCAAGTACAGGACGTGTTTGGCCTGCGCCTGATAACACATGGTCAAATGATGCATATTTAGGTCCCGGTTCCTCTGTCTTGGTGGATGGAAGAACATACTAGTACCGAAGTATTTGGTATTTTGCTAGAATCCATGAATTTTACCTAGGTACGGAATCTATTTATTTAAATAGAGTTTTTTTTCCCTCAAGATCCTGCCAAGTCAGATCACAGTTTCATCATTGATCCCAAATCAGTTCTTGCTAGCCTTATCAATGCCCTTCCACGTCACCTGCATGGCTTCGCCTTCTACCACAGTTTTCTCGGTCTTTAGTTGAATGTTTCCCATATCAGCAAATGGTATAGGTTGCAATGTATACTTTGGTGGATCAAGCAGGTAAATCACAGGCACTGAGAGATTTTTCAACACCAAAACGCATATGTGCACGAGCTGGGGCCATGCAATTGTAGTAATTGTATGCATGAAACAGTCTTCCTTTGCTGTTGCTGATATAGATGAGCAAAATATCGAGGAAGTGAGAAAAGTGAGTAGAATGACGCTGTAAAAGATGCCGTTTTCCCACAGGTCACGATGCAGTCTCATGCACAGAGATAATTCTGTGCTGTGATTAAATGAGTTCTCGCTGCTGCCGGTAATAAATGAGCCTTTTGGCTTTTTTGAGACAAGGTAGAATCTCAGTATGGCGTAGACATTTGCTATTTAACATTTGTTAGTTTTATTATTCACACGGAAAGGAGTGTTCAACTCACATCCTGCTAGCCACTTGTTCTCTAGAAATGCAAATGGTGCGCTTCGATGGCCGGTGAAAGCGACTTGCAAGAACTCGTATACCCAGGTCAAAATCACTTGACCTAAGGAAAGGATAAATTGCAGAGCTACCATTTTTGGCGATGATGTGGGAACGAGTTTCTGTCCGCAAAGCAATAGAATAGGCACAACGGCAAATCCCAGGAGACATCCAAACTCCTCAAACACGATACCAAATCCGTTTCGAGCGATTGAAGATCTCAACTGGGAAGATAAAGACTGGCTTCTTGAAGAAAGCATTGCAGGAATCTGCTGGGCGTGGCCGATGTTCCACCGTTTTCTTTGAGCAATATGACCGGCAAGAGAAGCAGGAACCTGACCGAATTGCAAGGCCTCATCCACTTGGAAGGTTTTGTAGTCCATACCGCGTAGCAACAAAGATAGCTGCCAATCCTCCGAAAATGAATATGTCGGGTAAAGACCCACATCCACGATCGATTGTCGTCTAAAGACTGCGCCAGATCCCGAATCAATAGCAATTCCAAGGGTGTCCAATTTGGCATTTTGACAAGTATAAAAATGCCCTCGTGATTGGGAGAGTGGATCTCCATTTGGAAGATTGTAGAAATATTGACGAGTAGACACAAGAGCCGCTTCTGGATCGAGGAGTAAGTGAGGCAGTGTGGCTCTTAAAAACTCCCTCGTTGGTATAGAATCGGCATCTAGAACCGCACAGAATTCAGGTTGGAAGTCTTGTTGTAGAGACGTTAAAGCATAGTTGAGATTTCCAGATTTGGCAAAAACTTGTCCAGACTGTCTTCCGCGAGAGTTATAGGAAAGATGTGGCCATTTTTTCTGTAGTTCCAATATTGTCTTTTCCAACAATTGCGATTGGCCATCATCAAGCACGAGAACTCTGAAATGGGACATTGGATAGTCTAAAGAACAGGCCGCTTGTACTGTCTGTAGGATCACATCAACATCTTCGCCGCAGCATGGTAGAAGAACATCTACACGAGGCAGATTTTCATTTCCCTGAAGGCGTAGTCGTTTTCTTGGAAGACTCTCTGGGTTCTTGGTGGCCGAAACAGTCAATGACTGTTCTTTTCGAGCCAAATCTTTACCCACAATTTGAATTAGAACTAAACCCACAATTCCCTTTCGATTCATCTCTACTTACGAATGAAGAAGGTTTCGAGGAGAAAGAAGGTCCACATTTGCCAAGTCTTCTCCGAGGTTGATAATATCGAAAGCAAGCGTATGACGAGGTAGACATAACCCACAGACTTTGCTGATTGAGCTACATGGCGAAGAAGTTTGCGATATCTTTGACCCGATACGATCTGCGGATCTTGAGGGAGCTCGACTATAGTTCCAGTAGTTCCGCCAAGCATGGCGTCTGATAGAAGATTTATCAAGAAACACCAGCACAAACTAGAGGAGAATCCAGGGAATTATTATGGCATTTATCAATTCCCCCCCATCGGACTAAAATCGATTCATTCTCTTAGGAAAGGGGTATATTAGCGGTGTGTTTTGTGCGTTTAGGCGTTATTTGGGCTGCTCTGGCCAAGCCACTGTGGGTTATGGGCCGGAACGAACCCAATGCTCAAATCCGCCGTTTGCCGGTTGGCGAGAGAACCAGTTCTTCATCGCTTCTATCACAAGTATGAATTCGGCTGCTCATTGGCTAGATTAAGTACGCTAGTTGGATTCATTTAAGCACAACTTCACCCTCATATCGATGCCAAACTGCCACAAATTAGTAATTATTTTCTCGTCAATGGGGTACTGATATTCTGACCGTAGATCAATTGTTGATCAATCAAAACAATGCAATTAAGAACGATCTTTGATCCCCTTGGCAGTCTCATCATATTCTGTTTTCACAAATACCAAAGATGAACCACTATCTCCTTAGGTTGAGGAGGGGTGGTTTTTGTGCCCATGGTTCACGCCCTAAGCTAGTTCCCAAGTCATAAAAAGGCTAGCCGTTCCGGGTGGGACGGGATAAGACTAAAAAAAGACTTGGGATTGAAACATCTACACGTGTACGGACTAGTAGACTTCCTGTTAGCGCTAGTAGCACTATCTACGTACTAACTACTAGGCACGTTACAACGTGGCCCAAGAGATTCAGATTGGAGTGAAAAATCTCTTTTGAGGCCAATGCCTCGAGCATCACTGTCCCAAGTGGGCGAACGGATTTGGGCACTGGCAGACTTTGCAGAAGAGTACCTAGGTATAGAAATGGAAGGTTTGAGATTCAAAGCGTTTAATTGAGACAATATAAGATCACGGTGGACAAAAGAAATATCTTGGTCTGAGTCACCCTGGACCACAGACTATATAGTAGTCTACCAAGGCAATTAAATTGCTATTTTCACACGCAAACAGGGCAATGATTGATAGTACATTCAAACAACAACACCTATCCAGGCTCGGAAATACCCAAAACTTAGATAGCTGTCTTTAATTCGCAATTGGAAGGGGGAATTTAGGACAAGTTGCGAGACATGTCGTTACGGATACGCTGGTAGTCAAGGATACCCTCGATGCTGCCGACGGCACTCATAGCAACGTCCTGGTCCCATAGCTTGCGGGTGGCAAAGTCCATAATATCCTTCTCGGTAATCTGGCCAACGATGCGCTCGATATCTTCGGCGCTGAGGCGGCGGCCAGTGGTGATGATCTGGCGACCAATGTCCTCGGCAACGGCGGTGGTGCCGTCCAGGGACAGGAGGATGGAGGCCTTCAGCTGGGCCTTGGCACGCTCAACCTCGGCGGAGGTGACGTTGTTGCACAGACGAGACCACTCGCGGAGGGTGAAGTGGATCAGGTCATCGAGGTTGGTCAGGTTCTCGGAAACGAGGTAGATACCCCAGAGACTGGATAATGTTAGTACAACACACAACGACATCTATGAATTTGCGAAGAGACTTACCCAGTGTCGCTGTAGCTGGTGGAGAAGCTCATGAAGCTGTTAGCAAGGTGGTGGTGGCTGACTTGAGAGCTGAGCTTGCTTCCGAGGAAGGGAGACTGGCCCATGGCGCGGTCCCAGTTACCGATGATGGCCTGGGCGACCAGAGCAGTGAAGTAGTCGTCGTCCTTCCAGCTGACACCCTCAACAGCGAGAGCGATGTGGGCGGAGGGAATGGTGTCGTCACGGAGACGGACCTCAGAGCCAATGAACTCGGGGGTGCGCTTCATCTCAGCGGTGAGAGCGGCGGCGGCGGAGGTAGGGGGCTTGCTGGGGAGACCACCGAAGTGCTCCTCGGCGAGGCGGACGAGCTGCTCATGGGGGGATACCACCAGCACCAACAAGGACCATACGGTCAGCGGTGTAGTTGGTCTGGATGTAGTCGGTCAAGTTCTCCCGGGTGATGGTCTGGATGTTCTCCTTGGGGCCGAGGATGGTGCGACCGAGGGGCTGGCCCTGGTAAGCGGTGGCGTGAAGGTGGTCGAAGACGACCTCCTCGAGCTGCTTGTCAACCTCCTCCTGCTCGCGCAGGATGACGTCGCGCTCACGCTCAATGGCGGAAGACTCAAGCTTGGAGTTCTGGAGGATATCGGAGAGGATGTCGACGGCCTTGGGAACATCGGCGTTGAAAGACTTGGCGTAGTAGACGGTGTTCTCGCGCTGCACGGATTATTAGCGTGTTTCTGGGATATAGGGTGATGCGTTGGGTTTTCCGGTCGTACCGAGGTGTAGGCGTTCAGGTGAGCACCCATGTTCTCGATCTCAAGCTCCAGCTGGTGCTGGGAGCGCTTGTTGGTACCCTATCGAATCGATTCCGGTTAGATGTTATTTCGCTTTGATCGGGGCTTTCTGTGGGGGTCGGACCTTGAAGGCAAGGTGCTCAAGGAAGTGGGCGGTTCCGTTGGTCTTGTCAGTCTCTGACCGGCTACCGGAATCAATCCACACGCCGACGGTGGAAGTCTGAGCCCACGGGGAGTGGTCGGTGGCGATCTAGAAGAGATTAGCAAGAGTGCGACGCAATTGAAAGGTTTGGCGAGGCGTACGGTGAAGCCATTGGAGAGGGTGGTGGACTGAGTGGTGGAAGGCAGAGCAACCGGCGAGGCGAAACCGCGCTTCACGGGCTGGATGGACTTGAGAGCCGCACGGCTCTTAAGAGCCTGGTTCAGGTTGAATGCCAAACGGCGGGAAGCCATTGCGGACGTGGTAGAGTGGATAGGAGGGGGTAGGGGGATGGAGAAAAGAGCTGGCGTCGCCCTGAGGTTGGACTTTCGGAAGGCTCAGATTATTCACCCAATCCACCAACCAATCACATCGCTCACATTTCAAGCAGGCCTCTTCCATCCCGACAACTTCCTTGGCCCAGTCCCTTCCCACGAGACAACACTACACTATGACATACATGCACTACATTTGGTGGAATTAACTTGGATACAAACTAACATAGCATTTATAGACTTGTCTCTCGCAATAACTATCGACAGATTATATACTTCGTTGGCATACCCGCCGCTCTCCTCATCCACAACCGATCCATCCCGATTCCCGAGACCTTCATGAAATCTGCCTCAATCATACAAACTTACTCGCAAACTGCTGGATATTTTCAAGCATGGAAATATCTGCCGAAAATCCAAGCTTATAAGCACGCTCATTCGAAAATTGAGGTGTCCAAGACTGCACGATCTTATCTGTGGCAGCATCGTACTTCTCCTCGACCAACGCCCGGCGCTCCTTACCACCGACCTGCTCCAATGCGTCTAACATCTCCTGCACACTGACCTTCAAACCGGGCAGATTCACGGAACGCGACTCTCCGAATTCTTCCTTCGGAACGGTGCGCGCATGCATCAAGTTTTTGATAATGGTATGCGGCGAGCAAATCCACATCTCGGTCTCTTTACCCACAGGTAGGATGGCCTTCTTGCCGTGGAAGGGTTCGCGGATAATATCACTGGCAAAGCTGCTGGCGGCCTGGGTAGGCTTACCAGCTCGGACAGTCACTGTGGGCAGGCGCACGCTGCGTCCATCGATGAACCCACGTCGCGAGTAGTCGGTCACGAGGGTCTCGATAATGAGCTTCTGCGATCCGTAGGAAGAGGACGGCACCGGCGGGAAGTTGTTCTCGTTAATCAGGAAACCGGGTGGTGCTGGGCCGTAGACTGCCAGTGAAGAGGTAAAGACTACCTTCACTCCAGGCTGGGTTGTGCGTAGTCGGTCTAGGATGTATCGTGAAGAGTCGAGATTGACTTTGATGCCGAGCTCAAAGTTGGCCTCGGCGCCACTAGACATGATGCCGTGTAAGAGGTATACAGTTTCGTATTTGCGAGAGGCGCTGATTAACTCATCAACCTCCTGGGGCGAGGTCAAATCGGCACGAACACAAGTCAGTCGGCTGGCATTCTCCTTAGCCGCCTCTGGAACCTCGGGCTCAACGACATCAGTGATGGTCACCGTCGTGGAAGATGGAGTGCTAGCAAGAAGGCCTGCTGCCAATTCCTGGCCAACGTAGCCGCCTGCACCAGTGATGAGAATCGACATATTGGGTGAGGCAATGGTTGAGTATCAGGCTTATGAGGATGGATAAGAAGTAAATAATACGATAGAATCAATTGAAATAGGAAGATATTGAGATATTCCAATCGCGCAGCACGGGGGCGTTCCGATGTCCTTATATAGTCATCGTCCTGGACCCCGCGGGGTTGCGGCGAAGTCTCCCCCCACGCACCCTCGCAGGGCAGTCGCCCAATTCAACCCATGATGGAACCTAGTACTAGTAGTAATTACTATACGTCGTAAATCACACTATGTCCCGGGAGAGACTATTGGTTTTGAATGGATTTCCAATTCGGTTTATCGCGATACCCTACAAGAGCATGCTCAAGAGTACCTACACAAAGACTAACTAATAGGCCGATCTTAGCGATCTCAAAGTCAGTTTGCAAACACTTATTGCTTGACATTGTAGATACAATGAATGGAGTCCCCCACGCACATATTCCGAGTCTTTTGCAATGGCTATTGAAACTCGGTGAGAAATCCGACTGCCGAACCACTGGCCTGGGCAACTCGGAACGCGGGGCAACTCCGATAAGTGCCCCGGAAAACAGTTGCTAGGAGAGTGGAAAAGAAGTTTTAGATCGGATATCTAGGTAAAACATTCTCATATTCTTGTTATTTCGGTAATTCTTTTTCTTCTATTTTCTCTAATCTTTTTTTGGAACTGAACAAAAAGATCAAGGTAATGTTGAAGTTGTTTGAAATCGATAACTAAGTAAAACTCCAGCTCCAGCCTTACTACCCCCCATGCAATGTGCTCCTCCGTTTCTATATGCCTCTTCATTTGCCGCAGAAAATACTTTGTGATGGGTGACTGCATTCCTGGCAGGCAAATCGGCAACGTCTTTTTGAAAATAACTCTTTCGTCTGGGAGCTTGCAGAGGTCCAAGAACAGCCTTTAAAAAACTGCCAATTGCCGAGCATCGGCCAAAGCATCGTGGTTGAAGCCCACAAAGACGGGACCTCCAAAGAGCTAGTGTAGATAAGATAAGCAGGCTCGTTGGAAACGGATGACTTCTGAAGAATTGGTGTCCAATATACTTCTTCAAATTGGCTCTAAACTCTTGGTAGAGCAAACCGATCTTGTCGTTTTCCGGGAGGTTGTAGGTGGCTTTTTTTTATCGAGCCACTGTCTCAGGCAATGGACGTCGAAAGGCCAAGATCCCCAAGCAACGAATACTTCTTGGAAACTATCTCTACAGGTCTTTCCGTAAAACTCTTTGAAGTCAGATATGCCAATTTGATAACGCCGATGGCAGCGAGTCGAAGATTCCAGGTCAATATGGAGCAAGTCGGAAGCGGCGTTTTCACCCGATTCCCCTCTCTCTAGGATACTATCCATGGGACCAAGATGAGAAGAATCGACACGCATTCGGAGGGAATTCCTCTTCGCGCTCAGGATATTCACAGGGGAAATTCTTGACCAAACCTTGAAAGATGGACAAATCTGGACATTTGTCGCGACGTTATCTCGCCTGCCGCATATATTTCTACATCCGGTGTATTCACAAAGGAAAGTCTCTCCAAGATGTGCATAATCGACATGTCGTTTGAGATGATCTTTTCTGCTATACGTTTCTTTACATGGATCATAAGGGCAAGCATATCTCATTTGATCCATACCCGTCATGTTGATGGAGGTATCACAGGCGAGCAACCAGAGCGATATGAAAAGGACTAGGGCAAACTAGATACAAGAATTCAGATCAGAATAATCACTCATGCCTCGGGGGATTGGGCAGCAGGAAAGTACCGATAACTCTGTAGATGATTTTGGGAGGAGAGGGCGGGGGTCAATTCTTACCAGACCGAATAACCAAACCAAGAAAACGTGAGGCCAGTGGTGATGGAGGTGAGAGCTTGAGGGAACTCAGCTGCAGACGATAGGACAGCCAGGGGGGGTAGTGAAGACAAGAAAAAGAGATATGGAGAGCAAAAGAGGATGTGGATGGGAAGAGTAAAAGGGCAAGAGCGAGAAAGAGGGCCGTCAACACGGTCATCTTCATTCGCTGGCAGTCACTATTGAGACGTCTGTTGTAAATCCTCTTTAGGCTCCTTCCCAAAAAAGAAGATTCGAGAAAATTTCTTGACAAAAGTTCAAAAGTCCCAATAGTCCGAGTTCAGTCTCATTGTTGAACACTCTTCGTAGGCGTCCATACATAGGTAGATGCCATTCAGCTAGGGCACCAGCGCCATAATTATAGACAATAGTAACAACTATCAGGGTTATTACAGATATCTAGGCAGTAAGAAAGGGCGATATTGCAGGTATCCAATTCCTCTGTAGGCCGAGTCTATTAAGAAACCTGAAGCTTCCAGCCCCATTATTTAGTACATCATACCCAGTCCCACCTCCTATGCCTTCTCCCATATGCTTAACTAGTAGTAGCAACCCTATATAAAGGTACTAGTGCTTATGCACCATGAAGATCCACAGAAAAAGCACGATCATGTAATTAGTAGGCAATATGTGATACTTAGTAGCTAGTAACGGTGTCCCGACTGTCTCTCTCCCTCTCCGTTTCGGAGAGAGAGAGATAGTATTGCTAGTGCCTCGTCATTTAAAATCACGATTATTACCTCCAGCTTCTAAACACCTCAGTTGTTACACAGCAGACTTTAAAGGGCCTCATAGCCATTACGAAGACACCATCATTTCAATGTGTGCATTTTTCCCAGAGTGAGACCTAAATTTTGTGACACAAGCAATCGTACATGGACAGAGAAAACCAGTCACAAGTGAAAAGAACAGTGGATACATCGCGGAACACGAGACGCCTGGGGGAAAAGTGAAATGGAACAAATAAAGAAAAGACATGACAAAAGATTAAACCCCCGTTTATGAGGAGCGAGTGTAGACACCACCGACGATACAGTGATCACGCTCGAAGGGCTCAAGAGTCAGCTGCTCCTTGGGCTTAACCTTCTCCTCACGCATCTTCTGGACCTCACGGGAGAAGACAACATCAGCGGCAGCGGTACTGTCGATACAGCTGGCCTTGATGGAGATCAGAACACCACCCTGATCCTTGAGGAACATGTGGGAGTTGAGGCCAACGATACGAGCTTGGTCTATTTATTGAGTTAGCACGCGAAATCACGTTAAAGAATGGAATCAACGAACCAGGTTGAGCCACATCAGCGAAAATGACGTCTACCATGGGAACAAGCATTCTGTATCTCAGGGGGTGACGGGCATCCTCAACAATGGGGATGACGTTGGTGCGGTGAGTAGCCATGCCAATCAGGTCACGGCCGGAACGGTGAGAGAACTCAACGGCATAGACATTACCGGTGGGACCGACAATATCAGCAACGTGAGAGACGGAGGTACCACTGGCACCACCAATGTAAAGGACCTTCATTCCAGGCTTGATGTAGATGTTGTCCAGACCACCCAGGATACCGGCAGCCAACTTGGAACGGAAGGGGTTCCACACACGGTACTCAATCTTGGTGACAGCACCATCTTGGTCTTTTTCGGGACTTTCAACGCTAATCCGCTTCTCACCATAGACGGCCTCGCCAGGAGTCAGGTTCTTGGTGACGAGCAGATCCTCCTTACCACCGCGGGCAACGAAGACACCAGCGTGACGGTGGGGCTCCTGTGAAGAGAAAAAGTTGGTCAGTAACTGCCTCTCTCTCCGAGTCCATTGTTCCCCATGTACTTACAATGACGACCTTAGCGCCTCCCCGGGCACCTGCAGCACCTCCACGAGGAGCACCACGGCCACGAGGAGCACCTCTACCACGGCCGCCGCCACGGCCACCACCGCGGTCTCCAAATCCACCGCGTCCGCCGCCGCGGCCACCACCACGGCCGCCGAATCCACCGCGTCCGCCACGATCACCACCGCCGAAACCACCTTTAAAATTGAGATCAGGATCAGCAAACTGGATATTTCTGGAATTGAAACACGGACAAGATCTGCAGTGGTCATTGAGCTGGTATAACAGCCAGCTGTGTACCCTCATGCAGACTGCCTGTATAGTCGGAAAGATTGATGAACATACCACGGCTACCACCGCGTCCACCACCGCGTCCACCACCGAAGCCGCCTCTTCCTCGAGGTTCAAAGCCCATGATGTGAAGTTTTGGGTTGAAGTTGGTTGAAAAAGTCGAAAAGATTGGGAATTGAGCTACTGAATGCTCAATCCGGGTGCGAAGGAAATTTGTGAGAGAACGGTCTCGAAAAGAGTGTTGACTCGAAGGGTGATAGGTGACGATATGATCGAAGTCACTTAATGAAGCAGCTTGTGCAGAGTTGACCGATGGTTCTCTGTTGCGTGCGGGTCAAGGCCGTTGCTGCTGGTTGCTACGGTCGAGATTTTTTTGCGCCTGCTGGATCTTTCAGAAAATCAGAACGGCGCTAGTCGAAACGCGGTTAGTGCGCTCTGGGTGGAGATTTTAAAGTCACGTGTCGAGTCACGTGTCTACGATGAGCCCTGCGGGAAAGCAAAGTGCCCGGAAAGAGAGAAAAAACAGTGATGCGAAGGGTATTGTTGTTAGATTCGATATTATACTCCATTACTAACGCCATGGTCTGCCTTTGAGCAGGTTAAAATATATAAACAGAAGAAAGCAAATGGACCAGCCTGATGTTTCCTCAAAAGGTCGTATCCACCCATCCACCGGTGATCTATGTACAGAAGAGCGAAGCCCAGCAAGGTCCATAACTAATTTCCAAAGAAGTAATAGTTCGCAGAGTATTTCATCTGGAATTGTGCCGGTTGTCCCTCGCAAGTGTCCGGAGGAGAGCCGGAAGCAGTGTCGACACGGTAGACTGCCTTGTACTTGCCCACAGTGCCTGTGGTAGTTGTGAGATACAGCCAAGCGACAGCACCGTATGTGCCCTTTGTGGCAGTACTCGGGGCGTCAATTGAGCCGCCCTTCTTGGTCATCGCAATCCCAAGTTGCTCGCCTCCAGCAATGTTAAGGTTGAACTCCGGGGTTGTCGCATCGTAGAAGAAGTGGTGGCCTATCAAGTCGACATTGGCTGGAAGCTGGATTTTGGCCCGAGGGAATGAAGATACGTCCAACGGAACAGAGCTGTTCCAGATGAGGTTTGGAATCAGCTCCAGTAGGTCGGGGAAGTTGGCTGCCATGCAGGTGGCATTGTAGAGGTTCGCAACTGCACCCGCTGCGGCAGGAGTACTCTTGGATGTGCTATCTGCGCAAGTATAGTTCTAGTCGAGTGTCAGCGGATCAACTCTTTGATACAATGATATATCAAGCGTTTCATACCTGTGTACCCCGTCCAATAGCTACATACATTGGACTCAGCCCATCAGGTGCAGTGAGTCCTGAAGCATAGGATGGCAATGTAATCTTGGACGCATCGCAGCCCACCGGGGTCCTACTGTGTCTCAGGCGGTTGATGTGCTGACTAACTTTGGAATAGTAGTCTAGAAGCCCCTCGGAGAAATCGTATGCATCGTCGAAGAAGTTTGTTGGGGCGGCAGTCGAGACCGCCACCAGAGAGAGAAGGGTTGGTAGAAAACGCATGGTGGTTGATGTTCGATGGCGGGGTTGTAGAGGAAGTGTGGAGTGGTGGGAGATCGACTCGGAGATTTGTTTTTGAGATCTTCAAGAGCAAGGAAATGAAGAAGAACAATAAGAAGAAAGAAAATGAAATACAAACAAGCCTTTCAGCAGCACCTGGCTGTTGACAAGACCAAGCAAGAGGGAGGGAGGTTGGGATTAGAGGAAAGGAATGGACGGGAAGGGATCTGACATGAGGATGATCAACCCGGCCAGGGAGGCTGGATACATATAGAACTGGCGTTGATTGTAATATTGATCGTATTTGCAACACATCGTCAAAATAGTAACACCCTAGTCTAACTCGAAACAAGGGACAAAAATAAAAAGCGATCGATGCACAACTGCAGGTACTAACAGGGATAGGTGCTTAACCGGACACCCTCATTGGTGGCAGATCGCGCCCAGGGCTGACGCCCCCATCCTCTACGACTTGCGATTCGTTGTATCTCCCAAACAACTTTGGCTAAATTGAGAGAGCAACGCGCTAAGTCAAACAGCGGGCTTGTGACTGGGCGGCAAGGTTGAAGGAGCTCACCCGGTGAGCCGGGAGACCAATGTGAAGTCCATCTGGGGAATTCTCCGTATGGGCTATTAATAAATGTATCTCCTTGGGAGCAATTTACGATGTGTGATGAGCGGTTAGATGTGCATTGTGATTGCCCTAGTGGGTTAGTGTGCAGAAAGTCCATTCGAGGGTATCTCCTCGTCTGACCGAAGGCGGTTGGAGAGATCTGGCTTGGCCTTCAATAGACATATAATTGGAGGAGGCTGGAGCAGTATTCGTCGCAGATTTCGATATTAGCGTGCTCTTTATTTGGGCAGCCCTCCATCTTGCAATCTTGCACAACCGTATTATCAGAGAGGCGGGTAACCATTGCGGGGGGGCTGGTTGTAAAATGGCAGCCCCCTCCACACTTTGTGGCTTGACCCCCTCTTCCCTCATCTGGTTCATGTTACAGTTTGGGCGCGTAGTAGTTGAACGCCATCTTACACTGTCTAACCTCTATAATTAAGGCTACCCCGATACTTACCTATCTTTGTCGATTTTAATATGACCCACTATTGGCCACTCAACTCATCACGGCTTCTTTAACCGACCAAGATATGAATCCGCGGAGTTGCACGGAAAACATTGCCATTGAGGATGTAAGTAGGAAACCTTCTTTGGTTCCATCTTGCCGCCAGAATGGATCATTTTGTGGATCTACTCATAGACATCGAGCATTCCAAGATTTCTTCATACCAACTACCCGCCTGGTTGGACCAATTTAGATGGTAGTGTGCAGAAACAGCAGCATGATGTCAGGTACTAGCACCTCTCTCCAAGGTAATCCAGGGCTGCTTAAGTGCAATTTCCCTTATCTCCGGCCCTCCCATGGACAGCTTCAAAGCCCTAGAGGTTGATAGCATCCAGCCGTTCGGGACTATACTACAAATAGGTATATGCTCCGGCAGGATTTACCTTGTTGCAGAAGCTTACCGAGTACACAACCCATGACTTAAGATATCTCACGCATGCAGGGATAAAAGTTATTCTTGAAACCCCAATTGACTATTCACACTATCCCACAAAAGAAGCCCCCGAAATAGAACATGCAGAGCTAGTAAGTGGGCCTATCACTGCCGATGGGGGCTCGCTCATTCCCCCCCAAAAAAACGCCGAAGGTTGATGATCAGTCATTGTAGAAACACAGGAGGAAAAGAAGAAACGGAAAATTAATGACTCCGGAGCGCTCGCTATTCAAGATCAAACATGGGTGTGTCACTCGGACCCCAAGGAAGGTAGGAACATCAACATCAATTACAACCATAGCAATCACCAGACCACCTTTAAGGGCAACTCGCCTGCTTAGGTGAAACCCTCCTGCTGCCAATCGTCACCATGCAGTTGACCACTGCTTCCAGAGCCGGTTCCACCCCCACTGTTGCTGTATGCTGCTGCTGCAGCGCCACCGAGGGCGCTCATGGCGCTGTGCTTTTCAATCTCGGTGGTGCTCATTTTGTAGAGCACCACGAAGAGCAGAAAGTGAAGAGCGAAGCAATAACCTGCGAACAGATTTCGGCTGGTTCGGTTGGCCAGAATTATGCGGGTAAGTGAGAACACTATTCTTTCGGGAAGATTCATACGCTTGTATGCACGCGTTGACTCGCGGCCGCGGAATGCAGCGAAGGGGGAGATCCGTGCCTCATAGGCAGATTGGTATCTATCGAGTGACAGTCCCGATGGTGTGTCGGAAGAGGTATACACGGATGTCGAGCTGGGTGCATTTGCATATGATGACGCAGAGGTAGCTGCCCCCTGACCTCGGCTGTATGTCGACACATAACGAGTCTTCTCGTAAAGACCGAGATTGTCCTTTTGAAGGGATGCAATCTCCTGCCGAAGAGACTTGACGGTGGAGTATGTCTTGGACAGCTCTTCTTCAAGCTCGGAATTCTTTTTCTTGAATCGGTCACGTTGAGCTTGGATCATGGGCAAAAGACCCGAACCACCTCCCACAGCCTCGCCTGCACGAATAGCATCCATAGTGTTGGCGGAAGCCGCACTCTGATCAAATCCGGATATGATAGATGAAGTGGGAGAAGTAGCACCACGTCGAGACGAATGCGGGTATCTAGAAGCATAGGTGCCGGCAACGGACATTGCGCCAGAAGGGAAGGTGTTGGCTGCCTCCTGCTGCACCTGAAGAAGATCATTCTCTAATGTACTAGATAGACCCCGAGACTTCTCCAGTTCTGCTTTCGTCGTCGAAAGCTCGCCACGAAGAGACTCCAGTTGGCCTTGCAAGTCACGGCTCGACACACGTAGTACCGCCAGGTCATCGGTCAACTTCTTGTTACGAGCAAGCAAAAGCTGCTCCAACGAATTCTTCTCTTTCGATTTTGTAGCGTTGCCGTTGGTACTTTCTGTGCCCTCCGCTGGCACCTCACCAGTTTCCTCATCATCACCGGCCGTAAACTCTATTGATTTGATCATCTCTAGCTCGCGACGAATGTCATCATAGTCTGCAACCTTCTCGAGGCGTGAGCGCAGCTCATTTCTCTCGGCAGTAGACTTTGTGGCATTTCTCTCAGCTTGAAGGACCTTGGCCTCCCAAGAGTGCCGTGTCGAGTCCTTATCATAGCGCGCGGCATCCAATTTGCGAAGTAAAGACGAGTTCTCTGACTGCAGACGCTGGTATTCGGGATCGTCTTGCAAAGTCGCTTGATCGGGATTCGAGTGTGACACAGACTGGGCTAGCTCCAGTCGCAATTGCTCATTTCGAGCCTCCACGTCGGCTAGGCGCAAGCTTGTTTTCTCCAGATCAGAAGAAACGAGTTCAAGCTCCGCGGCGGTAGCACCGCTTCGAGCCTCCTCGTTTTCCTCATTTCCACCCAGACGTTGAGAAACTTCGTAGCTCGCTTTGAGCTCCTTGATCAATCGCTCTTGGTTCTCCACCTTCTCTTCCAAGCTTTTCTCCTTTGCGGCCCAATTGTTTGTCTTTTCTGCTAAGACAGCTTCCCAGGATGATTCGATCTCCTTGGCTCTTGCCTCTTGG